AGACTCCTTCGCATGGCGACATTTTGACCAAACATGTCATTCTTTTGCATCAAAAATTAGGAATGTTAGATTAGGTGTTTGCATTGATGAGTTTCAGCCTTTTGGTAAATCTAGACAACAATATTCTTCGTAGCTTGTGATTGTAACGCCTTACAATTTGCCACCATGAAAATGAGTGAAAGAAGAATATATATTCTTAACTATTATTGTCCCTAGTCCTAAAAACCCAAAAATCAATCTAGACATATACCTACAACCCTTAATTAAAGAGTTGATTGAATTGTGGAAAGTAGGTGCTCTTACTTATGATGTGTCTCGTAAAGTTAATTTTCGGATAAGAGCTACTATCATGTGGATAGTTAGTGATTTTTCCGCATATTCAATGTTATCGAGTTAGAGTACTGCGGGTAAGACAAGCATGCTTGCTCATATTGTATGGAAAATTTTGATGCTTTTGACCTCCGAAACGACAGGAAAACTTCATGGTTTGATTGCCATTGAAAGTTTCTCCCACTAAGCCATATGTTCGAGCAAAATAGAAACGCGTTCAAGTGAACTTCAGTTGTTACGGAAATTGATTCTTCAATCAAGTCTAGAATTGAAATTTTGCAAGAATTAAACTATTGAGGGTTATTGAAAGTAACGGAATAGGGATCCGATGAGTATAACAATAATGTATCTAATTATTGTGGTTGGAAAAAACGTAGTATATTTTAGGACCTACCTTATTGGAGTTCTAATCTAATTTGACATAATTTGGATGTGATGCACATTGAAAAAAATATCTTCGACAATGTGTTTAATACAATTATGAATGTGTCGGGAAAAACAAAAGACAATGCAAATTCTAGAGAAGACTTAAAACTATATTGTCAACGACTCGAATTAGAAATAGATGAAAACTCTAGAAAATACCCAAAAGCTTGTTACATCCGGACAAACAACAAAAAATACAATTACTAGAATGGATTAAACAACTAAAGTTTTCGGACGAATATGTCTCTAACTTGCCAAGGTGTGTTGATATGAATAACCTCATATTACATGGCATGAAAAGTCATGAATGTCATGTATTTATGTAAAGGCTAATACCTATTGCATTTCGTGACATGTTACCAACAAATGTATGGCAATCACTAACCGAGCTTAGCTTATTCTTTAAGGAATTAACATTTAATATGATTAAGGTTGAAGATATGATCCGTCTTGAGAAAGATATACCAATAATCTTATGCAAATTAGAGCGTTTTTTCCCACCTAGTTTTTTCGACTCCATGGAGCATTTTCCAAGTACATTTGGCATATGAAGCAAAAATAGCCGATTTGTACAATATCGATGGATGTATCCATTTGAAAGGTAAACCTCTATGCTTTTTTTGATATCCGTTATTAAATAACTCGTAAAATATTTATTAAGTGTAATGCACTCACAATATTATTGTAGGTACCTTCGTAAATTAAAAAATAATTTTAAGAACAAAGCTAGAGTCGAAGGGTCAATATGCAATGCATATTTAGTTGAGAAAGCTTCAATGTTCTACTCATATTACTTCGAGTCTCATGTATACACTAGGCATCGAAAAATCCCTAGAAACTTTGAGTGTGATCGAGAACCAAATCACGATATTGAAGGCATACTTGCAATATTCATACCTAAAGGTAGACTTTTTGATCGAATAACATTACATGTCCCGACAAACCAAGAAAAGAATGCATCGCATACCTACATTCTATTGAACTGGGATGAGGTGACACCTTACGGAGTAATTACTATAACTCGTCAAATATTATTACTAGACATTTATTCATTAAGTATCATTCAATTTTAAAACATATAATAACAATATTTTTTTGTCGGATATTTTATCGACCAACCGTATAAAAGTGACATCAACATATTGAAAAACGAGATTGATTTTCAACTCCAAAATGAATTTGCATCATGGTTCCATCCATATGTGAGTATTACAAAGTCAAGATTTTTATTAGTTATTCATAGAATGATTTTATCAAATTTTATAATAACATTAACTCATAATTAACCTAGTTTTTACGAGCAAGTCGAGCACAACCTAATACTATAACGATTATTACATTAAAGATCCGGCAAAAGGATCATTGCGAACCACTAAGTCGTATACATGGTACATTATAAACAAGTATAAGTTTCACACTAATGTTCGTGGTTTGGAGAGAGCATCAATAGTGAAGTGTGTGTTAAAAGAGTTAGTTACGGTGTAATGGAAAATGACTACCACGGTAGGTTGATTGACATACTCGAACTTGAGTATCTAGCCTTACGACTAAAGAAAACCATTTTGTTCAAATGTGATTGGTATGATATGACGAACTGGCATCGATACAAAACTTCATGATCATTATGGACTAGTCAAGGTCTATAGTCGTAAGTATTCAAATAGATCCGATCCCTTCATACTAGCATCACAAGCGTATCGGATGTATTATGTAACATATCCTACATGTAAACGAATATGACGAGATTGATTGATGGTATTTAAGGTCAAACCAAGGGCGATGGTAGATGTGCCGGAATCGTCACGTTACCGTCGATGAAACAAATATCGAACCCTTTCAAGAAAATGAAATGGAAGGCCAACACAATGTCATCCACGTTGATGATGATGAAGGTCGATCATTGATTGATCCTATTGGAGCGTTATTAGATTTGGAAGGAGGTGAAATTAATCTTCGAGTGAATATGAGTTTGAAACCAATGTTGAGAAAGACGTAGATAAAGAATGTGACAATGATGATCATGATACCGATTAGAGATAATATGATATATCCCAAGTAGATTATGTTATATTGTATTTTATATTCAATTGACAAATTGTGCATATGGATTTTATGTAATTGCAGTACGAAATTGAGGGTTTAGGCAACTTTGTCCTCCCGTGTTGTTGGGCTATGCTGGTTTTGTCCCCCATTGTAATTTTTCACATTATTTCAATAAATATCCGGAGTAACATCCCCGCTTCCGTCAAACAAGAAAAAAAATTAGGTTTATGGTTTTGTTGACCTACATAGTTAGCTTGTACATTTTAAAGGTAAGATTTAATTAAATAAATGTTTGTATTTTATTGTTGTTTAAATATATTTCAAATTGTTCATATTAATTTGAATATTATATGTTAGTATGTATTATATAATTAATATTTTATTTAAATACTAATGAATGTAATAATTAATGTGTTGGTCATAATGGCTCGAGGTAGGGGTCGTGGTTCAAATACCGAGTCGGACAATGATCGTGGATGTGGACACCATTCTCATTCCGTTCATGGTCGGATGGGTCCCCCCATGAATATGCCTCCATACCACTCTTCCGGTGTTCCCTTGACATGCCATTGGATGCTCGACATGTCTCGACCTCGGCCATTTTCTTATCATGGACCTCCACGTCCTCCCTCATCTTTTCCTTCATCGTCATCGGTGCTTTTGTCATCACATCGGGACAATCGTTTCGTTCCTAAACACATTCCATCGCACAATATCCCATGTCAATCGGCTTCGGAACCTATCACATTTACAATTGACTCCGCAAGTTAGGGTCATTGTCGTTGGTCGCATGATGAGTACGGTTTATGCTTAATTTTATGAAACATTTTTTTTATTATCGCTATTATGTACTCATTTATTTATTAATTTAATTATTGTCTTTTTTTTTGTAGCGTGTATCCCTCGATGTCCGCTCTCACACGATCGTTAAGACATCCCGGGAGTATGTTTATATTTACGGATGGATGTGGAAGAAAATGAGTCCGGAGACAAAAGACTTTTACTCGGAAAGAGTTTAAGGTACTCATGTTTAAATTTAATTTGATTACATTATTTAATATTTAATTAAATAACATAAAATAATATGCAAATAAATTTATTAATGATTATTATTATTTTTCTTACATAAATCATTTAAGAGGGATGATGATTTGAACGAGAGCACGATTAAGAAAGCATGAAAAAGTCTCACATGGAAGCGATATTTCGACTTTCTTTGCCGTTTAAGGAAAAAATTGAAGTCAGCATTTATCTCACGGGAAATATGGGATGCATGGACTACGGAATGGGCTAAACCCGAGATCGTTGCCTAATCCGAGATGGCAGCACGGAACCATAGGTGCGAGACCGATGGCGTCGAAGCCGGTCCTTCTAGACATACGGAGGGATCGATCAACCATAGAGAGCACGCCATATGTATGGTATATATATATATATATATATATATATATATATATATATATGTTAATTTATTTATTTATAATTTTTTAAAAAATTATATCCAAAATAATTAATTAAACATTTGAGTATATTTAATACATTTACGTTTATTTATATATGGTTTCGGTTTAATGTGTTGGGTCGTGAACCCGATCCTCACGAGGTTTTCTTGAGGACTCATTAAAGACAGATTGATCATCGGCTTGTCTTCATCGATCAACGGTTAAGGGTTATCGGTGTAAGTTATTAGTTTTTAACATTATTTCATATTTAATAATTAATAACGTTATTTAACATACGTATTTAATATGATGCATTTCACAATTATGCAGGAGACCATACAAAGATTAATAAATGAGGAAGAGGTTGCTAGTCGACAGTCGAAAGGGACTGAATCAACCGGACCCAACATTAATGAGATATTTCGGAGGGTCGTTAGTGGAGGAGATAGTAGGAGGAGGGGATGTACGGACTCGAGTCACATGCATCTCACTATTACTCTAACGTCAATGCAGCCTCAAGTTCTGCTAATCCTAGATTCAATGTTGTTGACGAGACACGACTTAAGGAAGTACAAGATTAAACATCTACAAATACGACAAATATCCATAACTTATGTGGTACCGACAACAACCTAGAGGATTGTGTCACATCGTTGTTGGATACGACAAATGAGTTGAGAGAGTATAGCCGCCAACAATTTATGATGATGTCACGAAGCGTGCAGATGTTCATACGAGCATTTTCACCATGGTGGTAGTTCATTCGTCGTTACCGAGATCGACAACGACTCCATCCAACCTCCATATAACTCCACCCAACCTCCGAGTGATCTTGGCCATTAATTTATCTTAGCTTTCACATTTTCTTGTATTAACCGCAACCTATGTACTCGTTTTCGGTTATTTAATAATCGAATAATATTTAGTGACGTTTTCAAACATTTGGAATTATAAAAAAAATATGTTTAAGATATTTTAGCAGATTTTGGTTATTTTAAAATTGTTAATTGTAGCTAATTTTATATTGGCCGTAAAAAAAATAATAATAATATTTAAACAATTCGCGACGGTCTTAGCAACGGTCAAGGACCATCACTAATCCGTCGCTATTTAGCAACGAACTCGCCGAGGGTTTACAAGACCATCGCGAATATTGCAAGGATTTATGATGATATTTAACAACAATTTTTTTTCTTTGCAATGGTTTTGCCCATCGCTAAATTTGTAATGGATCGGAAACGATCGCAAAAATTTCCCGACGAGCCTTTTAACGACGATCATAAAGTGTCACAAAATCTTTTTTGTGATGGTTTTTTTACATTTAGACCATTGCTAATTAAATTTAATGTTGTAGTGACAATTCACTTTTTATTAATAAAATTACAAATTTTAGAATAAAATTACTAGTTTAAGGTACTTTATTTATCTCATGCAATTAAAGATGTTTATCTTCACGATCTAATGGTGGCAATTAATTACATTTTTATCATGCTTATATCCCTCTTAAAGTGGTATAAAAGCTGATATTGACTTTAGTCAAATGACATCTTATGAGGGTTGAAGTAATTTTTTTTTTGTTTTTTACTACAACGATTGTAAATGATAAACTCTTTCAAGATTATATTCTTGAAGATAAATATTAGTAAGTGTCGCTCTAATGAAAGACTTTGCAATCAGTAGAAACTTAACATCGTATAGTTATATAAATTCGATATTTATTATTATTATTATTATTTTGCTGGTGAGAATATAAAAGTTACTTGTGCATTTTAAAGTCTTGATTATAAGAGAGCCATTTGGTGGAATAACATATAGTTTTCTACGATGCATCAAAGATATACGAAAGATTTTTTCCTAACCAAAATGAGATAATTATTGATTTTATAATTCTGAAAAAAAAATGTTATAAGAGGTAAATGATCTATCTAACCCTTTGTTTGGATAGGGTGGAAAGTGAGGGAGAGGAAAGAAAATGGGGTGAAAAGAAATGTTTCCATCGTTTAGAAAGAAGGAGGAAAGCAGTGGAAAAAAAAAACAATAAACAATACAAAAATGGTGGGACCCATTTTCCTCCCAAAATTGGGAGGAAATGGAAAGAAAAACGGGAGCGATGGAATTTTTTTTTTGTTTTTCCTAGTTTCACCCTTGCCTTTAGCCGTTCCCTTCTGTTTCTCTGGCATCATCTCATCTCTGCAAACATGATCTCTCTCTCTCGCGGAAGTTGTTAGGGCCTTTCCTTGAGGCAACGGAAAGCTGTTTTCAAAAGCTCACCAACTTCAGGATTATCAGTGTCACCCAATTTTCTACACTCTGCCTGAACCCACCCACATAATTATATATATACATAAAGGAACGACATCTTTTAAATTAAGCCATGCAAGACAGGGGAAATGTTTGAAGAAATGAGAAAACAAAGAAACAGAAAGCATGCATCCCTCAAATTAAAATAAAACAAGCGGTTATAAATAAAATGAGGGCTGGTGGGTTTACTTGCAAAGGCGCTCGTAGGCTCCTTCTTGGTAGATAGTCATCATATCCATGAGCTCCAAACCAGCACGCTGATGGTGTGTACGCAGCAGGACCTTGCAGTTGGCATGGATTTGTTGCACATGGGAAAGATCCTTGAAGAAGTTATCATTGAGGTCTTCATCCCTAAAGTGCATTGATCTCTTGGTTAGAGAGCTGATAATCGTGAAGGAAGCAGGAGACAATATTTTATCTCTGAGTGGTGATTTTGAGTTCCTCTTTGAGCCTTTCTGTGGTGCTGATAATATCATCCGTGCTTGCACTACAACTGCTCAAAGCCTTTGCAATGCTGACAAGAAAGCATTTTTTTTACATTGAAAACTAAATTTAAATAATAAATTTAATTGATAAATAGTAATTGTTTATTCGAAAACAAAAACGGAGAAAATGATGGGTAAAAACAACTAACTTATTATATGCATAGATAATAATATATGTTATGCATATTTAAATTAATTTTATGTTGATAATTAATCTAAATTGACTATTGAATTAATTAATTAATTAACGAGTTATCGATTATTCTATGGAGACGATTCATTATCTATCTTATCATTTCAAATAGATGCTACATGCTAGATTTTTATTTTATTATCATTTGTGTTATTTTCATGAAAAAAATATTCATACAAATTTATTATAAGTATTTAAATATAGAAATATAATCATAGGGGTATTATAGTAAATATATAATAATACATTTTTTTCCTTCCTCTTTTTACAATTATCCAAACAAGGGAAATGTATTTTCTTTCCTCTCTTTTCCACTCTTATCCAAACAACAAGTGAAAAATAATTTTCTTTCCTTTCTCTTTTCTTTTCTCTCACTTTCTTTCCTCTCTTTTCTTTCCTCCCAAGAGGAATTATCCAAACAAGGGGTAAAGGAAAATTTGAAGTCAAGCGATAGCAAATCAATCATGCTGTAGTGATTAATTCTTCAAATTTGTTATTATTATTTGAAGTTGATTAGATGTTAAGATAGAATTTCTTATGCTGGTCAATGCTAAATTGAAGTTTTTGTGTTTGAGAAAATTGCGAGAAAAGAAGGAAGGTGGGCGTAAAGAAAGTAAAATGAAAGAAAATAAGACGAATGAAAAATTACCCTCTTTTCTTCTTTTTGGATAAGTTAAAAAATGAAAGGAAAGAAAAATGGAAAGAAAGTTTTTTTTTTTCCGGTAATTTATACAATGAGAGAATTGTTTTTAAAATAACCATAAATTACTTTTTATATTCTTGGTTTTTTTTTTTTTTTTTTTTTTTTTTTTTTGGAACATCGTATTAGTCACAATTATAACAAACCATGGAGCATTCTTCTCTTGTCATTCTTGACCCACTCTAGTACATTTTGCTAAATTTCCATTTAAAAATTTTATTTTCTTTTGACTTCAAATTTTCCTTTAAACGGATAATTTTCTTCTTATTTAAAAAATCATTTGGAATTCTAAAAACAATAATAATATCATTTTCGCCACCAATAACTCTTTTATAAATCTTTGAGGTACCACATAAGACTATATGATATTGTACCAATTGCTTTTCTTACAATCAAGCATTTAAAGTGCACACAAGATTTTTGTATTCTCGTGGGCAAAAAAGAAAAAGAAAATCTTATTATATATATATATATATATATATATATATATATATATCATCAAAGAAAGAAATTTCTTTAAGAATAAGTGTTTTTCATTTCTTTTATAAAAAAATTGAACATGACAATAACATTTTAAGTTTGTATGGAAACCGACTACAAAGTCCTGGATTAGAGCATCTACTACCACTGTCTATCATCAAGAATATAATATCGAAAGAGTTTATCATTTAAAATCATTGTAGTTAAAAAAATAAAAATAAATAAATCTTTAACCTCCATACAATATCATTTGACTATAGCTAATATCGGTTTTTATACCACTTTACGAGTGATACATTATTAATAAAGAGTGAATTGTCTAGTTAAGAGGTTCTATTCAAAACAAGAGAATGTTAATTTGCTAACCATGGAAACATACTAAAATGAGATTATGACAAAAACCAAACGTGTACAGATGAATTTAGGACGAAAAAAAGTAGAGAGACGCCCAAAAAAAAACAAAGGAAAGAGTAGAGGGATCTCTGCAACCACTAACCCAATATATTTAGTTGTAAATTTTTTTTTTTAGGTTTTCAGTAATTTTTTAAAAAAATAGATAGCTAAAAAGAAAATATGTTTGATAAAACTTGTGTCAATGCTTCTTAGGTGTGTCATTCTATTGATGACCACCCGTCTCTCTATAGTCTATTTTCTTTATAATAATACTCATCAATTTGATTCTTTCAATTAAAAAAAAAACGTTAAAAAAATTCAGTATGAATTTTAGAATCATATGTACTTTGGCAACATTAACTATATAAATGTTTCTTTTGTGAAGTAAAGGGAGAGTCATTCACCATGAATATTCAGTTACATAATCGAAAAATTAGTGCTTCACGCGTTGCCAAAATCTTGGGAGGAAGTTGCTAAGAAGTATCTAAGCCAAGGCATATGTGTCCGATATGGGTCGTAACGACTACCTCAACAATTATTTCTTAGATGACTACAACAGTAGCCAGCTATATACACCAAAAGAATATGTGCAACTTCTCATTGAAACTTATGAAACTCAGCTTGAGGTTAGCCCCCTATATATATATAATAAGGTATGATATGATGAGAAACTATCAAGGAGCCCCACTTAATTTCATTTTTCTTCCTGCCAGGATTTGTATGATACAGGAGCAAGAAAGATAGCCTTGTTTGAACTTCTTCGAGTAGGATGTATGCCCTCCAACATACAAAAACATCCTAATGAACTAGATGATGAATTATGTGCATACAAGCTCAACGATGCTATTAAAAAATTTCAATGATAAGTGTAATAACCCCAAAATTTTCCTTATTTTTGTTTTTATTTATTTATTTATTTATTATTAGTTTTTTTTATTTATTATTTATTATTTTTATTTATGTTTATTTTTTATTTATTTATTTTTATTTTTTTACTTAATTTGAAGTTTACTAAAGAAAAAGAAAAGAAAAAAGAAAGAAAGAAAATGATGAAAAACACAAAAAAATTTCATTTAGGGACAATTGAAGTAATTAGGGGTGTAATCGAGTCAATTAAAAAATTTAGGCCTTAAATTGCACCTCCCAAGGACCTAATGGATGAGATTGTGCTGAAATTATTCCGCAAAGGGGCGTAATTGCTGAAATTGAAACGTGAGCATCAAACCGAAAGTTTGAAGCGAACGATAGGACCGAATTGGAGAAGACGACCTGTCGCTCACTCCAATGCAAATTCTCTCCGAAAATCTTTGGGAGAATCTACCCAAATCCTCCACGAATTTCTTGTTTTTTATTGTGCATTAATCGTGGATTTGTTGTCAAAATTAACACTAATAGGAAGCAATGACCAAATTTTCTATTTTGATTTCACATTAATCATGAATTCAAGAGGAAAAATTTGATCAAAAATTTGAGATTTAAGATTCGATTCTAAGAGAAATTTTAGGAATTTTTTTGCTATAAAACACTTTGAATTTCACGAAGAGGGATAGAGAAAAAAGGAAGAGAATTCCGGGTCGAGAGAGTAAAACAAAAGAGTAGAATTCAAAGGTTTTTTTTAGTTTGGGGTGGTCGCTATTCTAGGAAATTTCGGGTGGGGGCTTTATTCTTAGCTTTTTGGATTTTTTGTTTCTTCACCAAGTAGGGGCTTTTTTATTTATTTTTTCTTTGATTTTTCTAGGCTTTCTGTTGAATTACCCTATTTATTCAACTTAATTCATTGTTTTTTCTTGTGATTAATTGGCATCTTTCGGATTTTTCTTCTAAACTTTTTGGGCGTAAGTTCATCCGTTCATCATCATTTCTTCGTGTTCATAATTCGGTTTTTGATTCCGGGATTCCAATTATTAGCTAAGCCATCAAGATCAATCGTAAACTCCCTTATCCCCCGAAAGTTAGCCCGACATTTGGTGCTCCTTCATTCACTTCATAAAACAACATTCATTTATTTTAGGTTAGTTTTTTTTCTTTTTCCAGTTTACATTTCTTTAATTATCATCATCCGATTTTCTTGATATCCAAAAGTTAATTTTAGTTTGTTGAGATGAGAAAAACGAGGACAGCTTTAATCAGCTTGGCCCTTTTGTTTAAAAACGTGAGTTAACTCCTCGTCAAATCAAGAACAAGAGAGTTGAAAAAAAAAGAGAATAGAAGCAGAGAAATAAGAACATGAGTGAGAAAGAGTAAAAATCGATAAGTTTTCGTTTGATCCAAAAATAAAATAGGAGGAGGTTGGGTCTTGTTATGGGTTGGAAGTCTACCTTGAGGTTTGATATTTTTTAAGAAAAAAGATTGGGACGTGGGTTGGGTTTAGCCCAACCCACACAGATTGAAAGATCGGGCTACTTTCAGCCTGACCTTAGCCTAGGCTATTAATAAAAGAGGGAGCATAAGTTGGTTTTAGTCCAGCTCCCGCTCTCCCCTCTCTCCACGTTTTACTCGAAAAAAAAAAAAGAAGAAAAAAAGAAGGGGTAATAAAGAAATAAAAATAGAATTAGGAAAGAAAAAAAATAGGTAAAAGGAAGAAAAATAAGAAGAAAAAAAGGGGATGGGTAAAAAAAAAAAGAGAGAGAGAGTAAAAGTTGTGGTTTAATGGTTTAGGTATAGGATGATTTTTTTTTAATCTTTTTCTTCTATTATTCATTTATTTTTTTAACCCGTTTATTCTTATTTCATGTCATTTTTTTTTATTAATTTAGAATTTTTATTTCAATTATTTTATTTTATTTTATTTTCTTTATATATAAATGACGAAGTCTCCTATCCGATATAAAAAAATCTTGACAAAGTCTCCTATCCGATAGGGACCGACGTCATAATAATAAAAAAGCCTAAATTTTGGTGAAGCTTCCTACTTGGTAGGGATTGATGCCACAAAAAAAAACATATAATAAATAAATTCGACGAAGTCTCCTATCTAATAAGGACCGACATCACCAAATTCAAAATTTTCGACGAAGCCTCCTATTTAATAGGAGCCGACGTCACCAAAAATCACCTTCTAATTAAGATGTCCTCCGACACGTCGGTTGTGTCAATGCTTTTAGTAGATCCGATGTTTGAATTGACGTGTCACCCAATGAAAAGGACCGACGATCGTTTCAATATGATGCCACGCCCAAAATTAAAAAATTCACTTAGTCTAAAAAATAGGAGTTTAAAATTAAA